ATATACCCATTTTTGTCATTTTAATGTGCTAAAATATACAAAAGTGAACACAGAGACCATTCCACAGAAGCTTGATTGTTATCATCATCAATTAAGAGCTTTGATCCTAGTAATAATATTTACTGCTACCACCATCTCCTCTTGACATTTGGACCTTCTTGCCACAACTGGAATGAAGTATATTCACTGATAACTAGTGGACAGTGTTCAAGGATGCTGCTAAACCTGCTAAAATGTGCAAATAGCTCCTCACTAAAAGAATTATCTGGGCCACACCAGCCGTAATCCAGAGCTTCGGAAATCCTGCTTTGGAAGTAGGTACATCTACATACATTTACTTGTACATATGTACACTTACATTTATGCAAGCTGAACTCTGTGGGTTGATGTAGCAGAGCAGGGAACATTTAAATTTCATCTTTTAACAAATTCTTCAGTAGCTCAATCTTTTCCTTTGTTTCTTGAAACATTTCCACTGTATTCATTATGTTCAGTCTCAATAAACAATAAACTTGGCATTGTTAGACTACAGGTTTCTTCTTAAAGCTAGTATGCTCAACAAGCTAGGTAAAATTGGTGACTTGCAACCAAATTCTCCACTCTTAAGAGGACTTTCTGGGGGAAAAGGCTGGTACAGACACTCTAAGAATGAGAGTGGAGGTGAGAGGAATGAAGAGCCCAGTTTACTGGGATCTGCAATTCAAACAACTCAGCATGCAGTTACTGTGCTTTTAATTTCCTTGTATTGACGGCTTCTTCAGTACTTGGAGCCACAAGTTGTAGATGATGGCTTAGCGTTGGGGCCTGAAACTCTGGGTAAATTTGGTCCTTACAAGAACAGCCCATGCCAACTGGTCAAGCAAATGTAGTTGTAGATGATGGCTCAGCATTGGGTCCTGAAACGCTGGGTGAATTTGGTCCTTTTACCAAAACAGCCTATGCCAGCCAGTCAAGCAAGCATAATACCCTTTAAGTCTGGCATCCACATGCAGATTCAATGTCCTTTCCAGATGGATGTACACCTACTGATTATCTTCCAGGAAGCAAAACCCAGGTACAAGCACAGATTGAATTCTGAATAACTTGGATAGAGAACTTCCACATGTCTCAGTCGTCACTTGGATTTTGTAAGTTGTATTCATTGTGTATTTGGTATTTTCACAAACAGTTGCTATTTTGGGTGGCCAAATATATTCAAGACAAACCATATACATTTTAATTCCTATAGGCATATATGAAGTACACTTAAATATCCATAAGTCAGTTGGGCCATGGATATTATTCTTCCATTCTGCACGACTGCAGTACAAAATGGTCTGGGCCATATTTTCAGAAACCTAGAACACAAAGTTCATCCCACAGACCTCTGAGCATGCTACTGCAGCTGGAAGGCATCAGTCTGCCATTATTGTCATTTGCCTTGGGAGTTTGTACTTGACATGTGCCATTGTTCTGATGGCTGTACAGTGGGAGTTAGTGAGACAGATAGCAGGGTAAGGGTTCTTCTAGACAGTAACAAGAATGGCCAGGTTCCAACTTCCATTTTCATGAATTCCAATTTCTCCCAAATATAATATTTTTTCTCCAACAGAGGACCACTAATTTTGCTTCAAAAGTAGACTATTTTCTCTTTGCATTTTATCCTCAGTACTCTATTCCCTTGATATATTAAGGTAGCATACAAAGTAATGGATTTCACCATGACATATTTCCATATTCTTGATTTTTAATCAGTCAAAGTCCAAATCACATTGTCACCTTCTTTCTCCCTGATTGTTCCTGTTAGTACTTTCCTGGGAGCAGTATAGAGAGTTATTCATTTGTACCTCTTTAAGGATTTGACTTCCCATTTTATGGTACCCTTTCTAGTTTCATGCCCCACATACATAAAATTACACAAAACACAAATTTAAATGTGGTTACTTATTTGAGGTTAAACTTGAACCATCTGCCTTTCTGCATCTGGTTGTTTTGTTGAACACATTCATTTATCAGCACCTCTGACTCCTCTCTGCATCCTCACATAGTGCCTGGGCAGAGCTATCTTGTCTCTTCCCTTTCCACAGTTCAGTCCATCAAAGCCATAGCCATAGGAGCCCACATTACCTCATCACCCCTAGGAGAGTTACACTGAGCATTATGGATCCTACATCTGAATGGTATGGGGAATGGGTGTATGATACAACTCACCTCATAGTGTCTGCCATGTAACTATAATGAAGTCTAGACTTGAATGCAGCTTTTGTAATACCAACACAGGTTATGTGTCCCTTACCAACATTGCTGTAGAGCCTGAGGTCTCATTTGTACTTCCTCTGTCCTTCATCTATGACCCTTAATTCTGCTATTCCATAAACTCTTCTGCCTTTGCTGCCATTCAGTTCTGACCTTGTACTTGCTATCTGTTAATGCTTCGGCCTCTAGTCTCACACTTATTGGACCATCTTTCTTAGATTTATGTTAAGTAACTACACTTCATCATCTATTCATGTTCATACTAAATCCTCAATCTCTCTCAGTAGGTCTTATTTTTGTAGAGTGACATCTTGATCCCTGGGCCTGTTGGGTATGTTAATCAATCTTTACTGTTGAACAATATCCCAGGCTAATAAGTATTCCTTATTGTTAGTTTTGGTGAGTCCTGCTCATAACACTTTCCCTGTGATGACTCTACTGTCTTCCTTAACTTCTCCCTGTTTGAGATCCCTGCATTTTGTTCTAGGGACCTATGTCAATGTCAGAATCACTTATAAATATATTCAGTCATGTAGGGTAGTCTACACTTGTAAGTCCAGTACTCCAGAGGCTGGGGCACAAATATCACAATTCCTGGGCTAGAAAGTGAGTTCCATCATAGCCTGGGATACATAATTGAAACTGGTTCAGTGGACAAAAATAAACAAAAAGAAGAAGATAATCATTGGCCCAGAAGAAGCTGTGATCCTGACTACTTGGATGTTAACAAGAGGGCAATCAAAAATTTGGTGCCATCCTGGTTAACTTAGTGAAACCTCATCTGAAAATGACATAAACAACCTGAGTGTGTATGTTGATTTTGGTAGTCTGTCTGATTATTTCAGAAAATCTAGGCATGCTAATAAAAGTTCCATTTTGGCTCCATGTATGAGATTTCTTAAAGTGATTATGTCATGAGATCTCTAGTCTAATCACCAAGTGAATCCATTGAAGATATCACTTGGCATTAGTGGTCATATGGGAGGCAAGGAATTTTTGAGGAATTAGCTCATAAGAACCATGAACTTGGGGCTGTTTCTTGCCTTGGGCTTCTTCCTGTATTCCTTGTTTGGCTAATGCAACATGAAAGGAAGAACAGCATGTATGGGAAAAGTATCCATCAACTAAACCCACTGAAACTGTAAGCCCAAAGTAATCTTTCTCCCTTTTTTTCTTTCAGGTATTTTGTCAGCAATGAAGCAGTAACTACTAGTCCAGTGCAGCTCAGTGGCAGAGACCTGGCCTTATATGCAGGAGGATCTGAGTTCAATCCCTAGAATCAGACATTACAACTTCCAAAAAGGTAAGATTAGAGGGTAAAAAAAAAATAAGTTTTGATCTTAATAGAAGCAAGCATGTGTTGTCAAGCAAAGCCAGATTCTCCTATGTCACAGAATTTGGTTGTGTCACTTGTGTACAAACACGGGACAAAGCATGTGCTGACCAGAAAATGAAATAAGATGATTGTGACTAAACACATTTCTAGTGGAGCATGCTAGGTGACAGGTGATCATAGTGATGACTTTTATATATGTGTGCAAGTGCAGAGAAATGTGTTAAACAAGACTCTACTCAGTAATCCTAAGCAAGGAGAGAGTAGTGTGCTTTAGTGCAGAGGATGACTGACACATGATTCCTAAGAAAATGGCAGGGCATGCATTAGGTATATGCCTCACTGAATGAAATATTGATAGATTTCTTTTGTTATCTTTTCATCTATTTTTTAGTTATTTTGTGTGTGTATGTGCATCAATGTGCACATGCACATGTATGCATGCATGCTCATGCAAATTCAATTGTGAGTATCACAGGACACTGTCAGGAAGTCAGTTCTTTCTGTCAATCTATGGATCTTTAGGATTGAACTCAAGTCATCAGACTTGGCAGCAGGATCCTTTATCACTGAGCCATCTGGCCTACTTGAAACATTGATATTCTGCCAGAGTGGTTGTCAAACAGTAAGAATAATAGTAATAGCAGTAGCATTATACAAAGTGCTTACCCTGCAGAGTATCCCCACTGCTGACCAGATGCTAGCTATAATATAGCAATAACTGTGATTAAAGATTGCCTGACACAGAAGGACTAATTCTAATGGGACTCAGCACAGTGACAATAACACATAGGGAATGCTTAGCAAAAAGTAAAAAGATTGCTAACAGAGTGTTTGACACATCCTTAAGATTTGCTGCACTTGATACATAATATGAAAACTTATGCTTATCTCTTAGAAGCATACTGAATTTTTATAAATAAATATATATGTATATATATACATATAACTGGTACTTTGTATTTCAAAGTTGTGGCTATGATCCTGAATTCCCACCACATTCTTCTCATCATGGGCTTATTTCGACTCTCTGTGGTTGAGACAAGAAAGAGAAGGAAAATAAGTGCTAGTGAGTTCCCACTACCTGCTCACTGGTCTGTTTTTCCTCCTGTCCCTCAATGCCTACATGCTCTCCTGCCCAACCTCAGAGCCTCTGCTCTACAAGCAATCCCTCTGCTTAGAGCACAAGTGACTGCCTCACCTTGTCTTTGAATTCCTTAGCCAGAGGAAGGTGGGCTTGTACTTTGAGTGTTGACCTGGGATTTGGGAGCCTACAACATTCTGAGGAGGGATGGTCTCCAAATTACCCAACATCAGAGGAAAGGAAACATGAGTGACATTACCCCAAAGGACTAGAAGTGGATGACTGGGTAGGAGCCAATACCATAAGAGAAAAGTGTGCATTCTGGGGTTTGGGAGATGTTTCAAAGGACTACTTACAGATAAAGTAATCACTATCATCTTCTTCAGGGTCACTGATCTCTTCATATATCACTCTAGTCTTCCTTTCTCGCAACCGATTGCTCCAAGCATTTACCTGATTGCCTGAAATGGGGAGGGGTTAGTGCATTAGAGCTAAATAAATTAGGGCTTTTTTGTCAGAAAAGAGCAGAGCTTGTCCCTCCCATGAGCCCATGGGCTGCCTCCATAGTCTGATTTTTACATTTGCTGGCTCACAAAGACTGAGATGTCAGCCATACAGCAGTGCAGACCAAAGGCCAGTTCAGGTTATCCAGTATACTGTCTGGTCCCCCTCCCCAATCACCTGATACAGATTTCCTATTTTAGCCTTCATTAGAAAGAGTATCCAGTGAGCATTCACCTACATTATATGAATTTAAGAAGTCAAAATATGATTATAGAGAGCCATTCTAAAATCTGAACTGGTTGGTGCTGTCCAGTTCCTCACCCAGAAAGGCCTGGGATTTTTTAAGACCCTTGCCATAAACCCAGAACATGCCAGGGAAACCAGACTATTGTTCCCCCATGGTTTCTTTCCATCCAACACCACCCTATCGCCACCCTAATATATGTTAGCATGTATTAATTATATGTGTTGTTACATGTCATCATGACATTTCATTATAATGTGTTTTGATCATGTATATACCTCGTCACCCTCTCTTGACTCACACTAATGCCCTGCCTCCTCACTTCTAGATTCCCTTCTATTTCATTTCTATTTTGTTTGGTATTGGTGGGACCCAATGAGTTTAATTGGGCTTACTAAAATGTGAATTGGACTTAGTTGGTCTTTTCCCCTGGCAACCATTAACGGCCTTCATATCCTCTGAGAGGGGCAGAACCTGGTAAGTGTCTCATTTCGTGGCAGAGTACTGAAAGGCTCAGTCTTTTGCAGGTGTTATTTAAGGATTTTCATAACATGCTAATCACACTTGACAAAGTATTTCACTATTTGTAACTAAATAAAAAAGAGCATGGATATTTAAATGGGAAAACAGTGTGCCCTAAATAAGCCATGTTTCTGGAACTACAGTGTTTGCCTTTATGTTCTTGGTAGACTGTCATTTGTGCAAGTAAATGAGATGTAATTAGGAGTGTGGAATAAAGATGATTTGGGCAAGAAAAGAAGCCTGGAGGGATCCACAGGTTCTGTGGAAGGCAGGTATCTAGAAAACATAAGGCTTCACACATGAGCTTGTGGTGCATGGCATGGACACTTAAGAGTGAATAGAATGAAGGAGACCGTACTGTACCATGATGGTGTACAGATGAATGCAAGGGATGGGAGAGAAAGAAAGGAGACATAGTGATCTGGCTATCAGAGAATGTGGTGCCGGAGGTGGTATCACACAAAATGGTGGTGACAGGACTTCACATGGATTGGGCACCTGCACCATTTCTACTGATATCACGATGTGTCACTGGTCACTAGTCCTTAGCTACCTCTCATTCAACTTCCTGATTCATGCATGAGGGAGTCTATGTACCAGTAAAAGAGTGTTGTTTCTGTGCTTAGAAACAATTTATTGCCTTTTATTTTATATTTATATTTTTACGTATGTGTATATCTCTGTGTCTATGTAGCACATGTGTGGGTGTGCCTGGGGAGGCAAAGTACTTTATCCGGTAATAGTGAACAACTGAATATTGCTCTTATAATCCCTTCTTTCCATTCAGTCCTTAACTGTGTCCTCACCGGCCACTGACCCTTAGCTCCCATAACTCTATACTAGACCAAACCTACAACTATGGAAACTCCTATTCGGTAAGGAGTTAGGTGGTTTTTAGCATTCCTCTGGGTTGGAGATGTGGTGCACATAGTTCCCAGGGATAGATATGTCCTGAAGTTGATCACAGTGAGAGGAGTCCACTGTGAAAACCGTGTCATTTCCAGCCAGGGAAGTGCATGTTCCGTTCATAGAGCAGAGGCCAGCTGGAAATTTCCTGCTTGGAAAGTGAGTGTCAGGATGAGAGAATGAACAGATGCCTCACACGGAGGCATCACCTGAATTTCAGAAATGAAAGAAGACATGAGTGCATTTCAGTGGTTTGGGCTACAGAATAGAGAGCTAGTGAAGCTGCTCTTCAGGCCAATAACTTAGTACAGTTGTGCTGATCCTCATTATCATTACTCTAATTATTAAAATGCTCTAATTCAAGAAACACAGGTCTGGTGTTGTAAATCTGACCAAGAACATGTGGTTGCACAGGCCCGTGGGAAAACCCATTACTGTGATTTTGCTAAATGAGTGTACTACAAACTACATTCATATCTAAATTCATATCTCTCTCCACATAGATAAATGAGCTCTCAGACATTATTAGAATTTTGCTGTACAGTGAGTAGAGGCTAATGCAGAAACTCCCAGCTGGTTAAACTGCAGAAAATAAGTGTCTATAAATTGCTCAGCTAAACACAGACATTTATGTCACACACCTTCCTCCCAAGCTCAGGTACCATTGTAGAAGCGAGGATAGAAGTATTGTAAGAGGAAGAAGACACGGAGGACCAGATCAATCTAGTGTTTTATGGACATGATGAGACTGTTACACTAATGAACTCACAGTAGTGTCTTTGCCTACACAAGACCTGTCAGCACTCTAGCATGGCATGAGTCGGAACCCATGTGCCCCACCCTTTCTAAGTAGCTAATCATAGTATATGGATTTTGTGGGAGGGAAACTCAGTTTTCTTAAAAAAAAGAGAGAGTATAGTTCCTGGTAGGTCACCCATACTCTAGTGTATGGTGCTACATCCCACAGTATATAGATAGCACAAATTGGGCTTTTCTTTTAATTTAAAAGAAGGCATAAATTTGGGGAATGTGGGGAAGAAACATATAGGAAAGATGTTTTATGTTCATTAGGTGAAAAAGTAGGGTATGTGTGAATATGATCAAAATACATTATACAAAATCCTCAAAGAATTAAATAAAATACCATATTAAAAATAATAAAGAAACTATGTTAAGGAATAGGAATACATTGCATCCAACCTGGCAATTTGGAAGCAAAGGAAACAGAAGCATCTCTGGAGACAAGTCCTCCATTTACTTTTCGAAGATTTATTATCTATAAAAGAGAATCTAGGTTAAGGCCTTTTAGCAAACAGTATTCTACAGGGGGTATTTCTGCCACTTGATTTAAGATATTCTAATTTGCTCGATAATGTTTAACACGGGACCTTGCAAATAAAAACATCACACACCAAAAATAACCAGACCCAAAGTCTCTACAACTCAATGACCTGCCATACAATTAGAATTGGCACTTGAAACATATGAAGCTTCACTTTCATTTTTTTTTTACATTTTTTACATTTTTTTTACATTTTTCACTTTCAATATCATATATTTTATCCACTTCCCTACCATCAAAAAGAAAACTCTCTTCATCAATGTGAGCATGAACTGAGTGACAAACATGGTGCACTCCTGCAAAAAGAGGTGTCACTCACCTTCCCGCTTTTTCTGTGTGTCATGCCAAAAGTCCCTTCAGAATATTCATCTACAGAGAGGGACAAGTCAAAAGTTTTGGTTTGTTATTGTAAATATCCCGAAAGTCCTACATAGGAGATGCTAGAGTGGAGGGTTACAGCCTGCTCACGGAGAAGGAGCAGCTGGTGGGGCAAGGCTGTCTTTCACTTTACGAATGATGCAGGCATTATCTGTAATGTTAGCTTCGAAGTCTCCTTATGATTGTTTAAGAAGTGTTATCACTGCCTCATCCTATCCCAGCACATTCTTTGTACCTCATAATATTAAATTGATTTCAGAAAAATTGAGCTGTATAAACTTTCAGATGTGGAATAATCAAAAAACATCACACATGAAATCATTTGAATATTAAGGTGTTAACTGTGTGAGGAAGGATAAGTGATTTGACTCAGTGTTTTGCAAGGGGGGCTACCAAGTGTAGTTATTCTTTCTCTCTCAAAAACTGTGCATAGATTTCAGGCCTGGAGTTTAGATCAAGTAAAGTGCTTGTGGGAGCTTGTGCCATCTGACCTGCTTTCCTGGAAAGTCATAGGTCTATAGGACACAGGACTCTCTTTGGAGTTTTGTGTTAGAACAAATGAACATAATCAATATCCTCTGTCCTGATTACACATGCTACTCAAAGCACAGGATCTAGACTCTTTTACCCTGACAAGCAGATGAGCTACCTCTTGCTACCCCCTCTCATTTTCTCTTCTCCACCCTCTCCCTCTCCCCCTCCTCCTCTCCCTCCTTCTTTTTCTCCATCTCTCCTCTCCCTTCCTCCGTCCCTCCTCCCCTCTCTCTGTGTATGTGTGTGTGTTGAGTGGCATCTGTGACAGTGTGCTGAATGTGTGTGTATAAGGTGGAGAGTGTCTACCTGTGTTTAAGGTGTGATACAGGACCGTGTGCATTCCAACTGAAGGTGTTACATGTTTGCATTGACTTACTACGCTATTTTTAATGTTTTAGAATTTTATTTGACAGGGTCTTCTACATAATCCACTGAATGAACTCTTTTCCACACAACCCTGATCTGAAGAGGAAAAAAGCTGCCTCTGACCTTACTGGGCATGTTGACTGAAAAAAGCAATCCTTCACAGCCCTCCCTGACCACTCACCTTCACTGTCATGAACTTCAATACATTCGACCAGAGAATTGTTGGCCTGTTTCTTATGTCGCATGAAAACTGGTTGGTTGACTGTGATCCCTAAAAGGAAACAAAGTGCTTTTTCTTAAATAGATGGCACAAGAGAGGAAATGCTAGGATCTGGGACACAGCATAGACCTTAATGCTCACAAGTGCAAAACCCTGTAGGAAAGAAAAGTGCAGGCTGTAGGTCTGAGCCCTATTGCCTGTTGTCTATGCTCTCAGCCTTGCACAGGATGGAAAAGAGCAGCATGCTCAGCAAGCACCTTGACATTTCTATGGGAAGAAAAGTACCATGTGGGAGAGGGATCTGTTACATGTTGAGAAGAAGATGTGACATAAAAAGCAACTAGGAGACACCCAGACTTGTCTGAACCCAGAACTTCCTGTTACCTAGGCCGGTCATTCGGACGTAGTTTCTTTTCATATACACATAGGCACTTTTCTGCCATTTGGTCAGGTTTGCCCACTCTTCCTCAGAAAAGTATGTAGAAATATCCCGGAAGGCCTAGAAAAGAAGGAAATGTAAATTCTGGCAACTACTCTGCTAGACATGTGTGTCATTCATCCCTGAATTCCCTCTGTGTTGGAGGACCTCAATGGTCCACCTAGAAAATCAAGATAATTGATCCTGGGAAATGAGAGTCAATGCTGCTTATTTGTTCCCCACTTACGAAGGGTTGAGTGGCAGCACATGCATTAAGGACTAGATCACCAATCTGCAGTCTTCAGGCATGTTTTGGAAACTCACACTGAGTATTTGTGTATGGAGGGAAACCCTGAGACTTACAGAGGTCAGGTGAAGACCATGGTCTTTTTCTTAAGTGTCTCTGGTTTCCACCTTCTGAGAAATCTTTCTACAATGGGCCTTGGTCACTCAGCCGCTTCTGCCCACCCCCTACCTGGTCACCTCACCTTGCATATCTTCTTTGATTTATGAGTCACTTCCACAGGGGTCTTTGCACAGGAACTATCTGTTTTCTTGGTTTGGGTATGAGTATGATTTTGAAAAGACATCATCTTGTTTTCTTCAGGCACAAAACAAAATGTCCTGTGAAGGAAGGAGTTGTGGTTGAACAGTAACATTCAGTACCTGAGATTTTCTTGTGCTCCTTCTCATCCTGAGATCATCCGTCCCTGATTAGGTCTATGGGAGAATTAGTGGTTAGGATTCAGTTGGATTCTGTGAGACTGTATGAAGTTATCTTGAGTCTCTGAGAGCAAATCAAGCCTCTGTCGTGATTAGTTGCTCTGGAGGGTTCGTTGAGATTAAGAGAAAAAGATATTGAATTGGGCAAGTATAGACACATGTTCTCACCCATGTGAGGAAAGTGGAAAATTATTTCATAGAAGATAAGAATGAAGATGGGCACAGTGGCGCACCAGCACTCAGGGAACAGGGCCTGTCTGACTCTTGTTGCCTGCCTTTGGGACCCTTTGCTCCTACCTGGGCTGCCTTGTGTAGCCTCAATAGGAGAAGATGCACCTTGAGTTACTGCAACTTTATATGCAGAGAAAGGGAGAAAGAAAGCAGGAGTAAGTGGGAGGAAGGACTGGGAGGAGAAGAGGAAGGGGAAACTGCAGTAAGGGTGTAAAGTAAGTTAATTGACTAATTAAAAATTAATGGACACAATGAAGTTTCAAATAAAAGACATTTCTGAGCACCTGCTGAAATTTAAATCAGTGTGTATACATCATTACCTATTCTTGTTTTTTTGTGTTTTGTTTGTTGTTTTCCCTTTGAGAAATGGTATGGCTGTGATGTTAAGCTGACAGAGAAACCCTGGGCTCAAATACTTCTCCTGTATCTGCCTAGTAAGTAATTTAGATTGCTGTTTTGTAGTATAGTGTCTTGAATAATGTATAGATATTTTGTGATGTATTCTGATGTAAAGTTGGTCCAAGGATTGTCACAGGTTTAATAGTCTCCCCAACTGATGGCTTTCAGGGATCAAGGAAATGGATATATGGCTCTGCTGTCCTGAAAAGAGGTGGATCTATTCAGTAGAGTGTGTATGACTGGGCTAATTTATAAATTCCTGCAGAGATAAAAGACCTAGACTCTCCAAATCTACAGGACCAGCTATCATGCAAAGTGAAATAATTTAGTACATCTCAAGATACACTAATCAGAGGTCCTGCAACTGAAGTCATCAAAAAAATTTTAGTGAGTGGACATTGAGGTATCTCTGGGACCATGAAAACTGCAGCTTTATCCAAGAGGAGGTTGGAAAGTAATCCTTCTGACAGACACTATTTGGTGTCAGTGAGCGTGGAAGAAATCTCGAGGCATATAGGTAATTTCAAAGTTTGTGAAGGTAAGAGGCATATTGCTTCCCTCAGAAATAGTAGCACAAACTCAAGGGACAACACATACTGGAGAGGTTGTGGAGAAAGGGGAACCCTTCTCCACTGCTGGTGGGAATGTAAACTGGTACAACCACTCTGGAAATCAATCTGGCGCTTTCTCAGACAACTAGGAATAGCGCTTCCTCAAGATCCAGCCATACCACTCCTAGGCATATACCCAAAAGAGGCTCAAGTACACAAAAAGGACAGTTGCTCAACCATGTTTGGAGCAGCTTTATTTGTAATAGCCAGAAGCTGGAAACAACCCAGATGCCCCTCAACTGAAGAATGGATGCAGAAACTGTGGTACATCTATACAATGGAGTATTACTCAGCAATGAAAAATAAGGAAATCATGAAATTTGCACGTAAATGGTGGGACCTGGAAAGGATCATCCTGAGTGAGTTGTCCCAGAAGCAAAAAGACACGCATGGTATATACTCACTCATATAAACATGCAATGTAGAATAAACCCACTAAAATCTGTACATCTAAACAAACTAAGCAAAAGAGAGGACCCTAACTAAAATGTTCAATCCCCATCCTGAAAGGCAAAGAGGATGGACATCAGAAGAAAACAAAAATAGGAAACAACCTCGGAACCCGCTACAGAGGGCCTCTGAAAGCCAGAAGAAAACAGGAAACAACCTTGAAACCTGCCACAGAGGGCCTCTGAAAGCTTCTGCAGTATAGACTGTCAAAGCAGATGCTGAGCCTGATGGCCAACTGATGGGCAGAGTGAATGGAATTCTATGTAAGAAGTGGGAAATAGTAAGAGCTGGAGGGGATGGGAACTGCACAAGGAGAGCAACAGAACAAGTTAATTTGAACACAGGGAACTTCCCAGAGACTCATACTGCAACCAAGGACTATTTGTGGAGATGACCTGGAACCCCTGCACTGGTGTAGCCCATGGCAGTTCAGTGTCCAAGTGGGTTACATAGTAATGGGAAGAGGGACTGCCTCTGACATAATCTGATTGGCCTGCTCTTTGATCACCTCCCCCTGAGGGGGGAGCAGCCTTATCAGGCCACAGTAGAGGACAATGCAGCCACTTTTGATGAGAACTGATAGACTAAGATCAGAAAGAAGAGGAGAACCTCCCCTATCAGTGGACTTGGGGAGTGGCATG